GGGTCAAATGGGAGTTCCATTTTTAGTTTTTTGAGGAAACTCCATACTGTCTTCCATAGTGGCTGCACCAGTCTGCATTCCCACGAGCAGTGCATGAGTGTTCCTTTTTCTCCACATCCTCTCCAGCACTTGTCGTTTGTTGATTTGTTGATGATAGCCATTCTGACAGATATGAGATGATACCTCATTGTTGATTTGATTTGCATTTCTCAGATGATTATTAACTTTGAGCATGTTTTCATATGTCTCTTGGCTTTCTGAATGTCCTCTTTTGAGAGGTGTCTATTTAGGTCCTTTGCCCATTTTTTTATTGGATTGTTTATCTTCCTTTTGTTAAGAAGTATGAGTTCCCTATAAATCTTGGAGATTAAACCCTTATCGGTGATAACATTGGCAAATATGTTCTCCCATGCAGTGGGCTTTCTTTTACCTCTTGAGTTAAGTTTATTCCTAGGTATCTTAAACAATCCCGATGAAAAATGGGATTGTTTTTTTAGTCTCTCTTTCTGTAAGTTCACTATTGGTGTATAGAAATGCCATAGATTTCTTGGCGTAAGCTTTGTATCCTGCTAGATTGCCAAATTCATATATTAAGTCTAATAGTTTTTTGATGGAATCTTTAGGGTTTTTTATGTATAATATCATGTCATCTGCAAATAAGGACAGTTTTACTTCTTCTTTTCCAATTTGGATGCCTTTTATTTCTTCTTCTTGTCTAATTGCAATGGATAATACTTCCAGTACTATGTTGAACAGGAGTAGTGAGAGTGGGCATCCCTGTCTTGTTCCTGTTCTGAGAGGAAATGGTGTTCGTTTTTGTCCATTGAGTATGATGTTGGCTGTGGGCTTGTCATATATGGCTTTTATTATGTTGAGGTATTATCCTTCTATTCCCACCTTGCTGAGAGTTTTTATCAAAAATGGGTGTTGGTTTTTGTCAAATGCTTTTTCTGCATCAATTGATATGACTATGTGGTTTTTTCTTTCAATTTGTTTAAGTGATGTATCACATTTCTTGATTTTCAGATATTGTACCATCCTTGCATCCCTGGAATAAATCCTACTTGGTCATGGTGTATGATCTTTCTGATGTATACAGCTGGATCCAATTTGCTAAGATTTTGTTGAGGATTTTGGCATCTATGTTCATGAGGGATATTGGCCTGTAATTCTCTTTCATTGTTTTGTCTCTACCTGGTATTGGTATTAGGGTGATGCTGGCTTCATAGAATGAGCTTGGAAATGTTCCTTCCTCTTGAATTTTTTGTAGTGGTCTGAGGAGGATAGGTTTTAGTTCTTCCTTGAATATTTGGTAAAACTCCCCTGTGAAGCTGTCTGGTCCTGGGCTTTTGTTTGCTGGAAGCTTTTTGATGACTGCTTCAATTTCTTCCATAGTTATTGGCCTGTTGAGATTTTTAGATTCTTCCTGATTAAGTTTTGGAATGTTGTATTTTTCTAGGAATATGTCCATTTCCTCCAGGTTGTCTAGTTTGTTGGAGTAGAGTTGGCCATAGTATTTTTTAACAATCATTTGTATTTCTGTGAGGTCTGTTGTTATTTTGCCTCTATCATCTCTGATTTTGTTTATTTGGGTCCTCTCTCTTTGCTTCTTGGTGAGCCTGGCTAGAGGTTCATTGATCTTGTTTATCCTTTCAAAGAACCAGGTCTTGGTTTCTATGATTTTATGTATTCTTATTTTGGTCTCTATGTCATTTATTTCTGCTCTAATCTTTATTATCTCCTTCCTTCTGCTCACTCTGGGTTTTTCTTGTTGCTCTCTTTCTAATTCTTTGAGTTGTAGAGTTAGATGATTTACTACCATTTTTTCTTGTTTTTTGAGATTGGCCTGTAGAGCTATAAACTTCCTTCTCATGATTGCTTTCAGTGTGTCCCATAGGTTTTGGATTGTTGTGTTTTCATTGTCATTAGTTTCCAGGATGTTTGTAATTTCTTCTTTGATCTCATTGGTAACCCAATCAATATTTAATAACATGCTCTTCAGCTTCCAAGTGTTTGAGTATTCTGGGTTGTTTTTATTGTAGTTTATTTCAAATATTATGCCATCATGGTCTGAGAAGATGCTTGGTATGATTTCAATCTTCTTGAATTTGGGGAGATTTTGTTTGTGACCCAAAATGTGGTCTATTTTTTAAAATGTCCCATGAGCACTTGAGAAGAATGTATATTCTGTGGCTTTGTGGTGAAATGTTCTGAAGATGTCAATTAAGTCCATCTGATCTAGTGAGTCATTTAGGATTGCTGTTTCTTTGCTGATTTTTGTCTAGAGGATTTATCCAATGATGTCAGTGGTGTATTAAAGTCCCCTACTATGATTGTATTGTTGTTGATCTCTCCCTTGATATCTTCCAGGAGTTTTTTATGTATTTGGGTGCTCCTGCATTGGGTGCATATATGTTTATCAGGGTTATAGCCTCTTGTTGTATTGATCCCTTTAGTATTATGAAGTGGCCTTCCTTATCTCTTGTGATGGCCTTCACTTTGAGGTCTATTTTGTCCGATATAAGTATTGCTACCCCAGCTTTTTTTTCATTTCCATTTGCCTAAAAGATATTTTTCCATCCCTTCACTTTCAGTCTGTGTGAGTCCCTTCTTCTGAGGTGGGTCTCTTGTAGACAGCAAATGTATGGGTCATGTTTTTTATCCATTCAGCCACTCTATGCCTTTTGATTGGAGCACTTAGTCCATTTACATTTAAAGTTATTATTGAAAGGTAATTGTTTATAGCCATTTCTATATTTTGTGCCTGTTTTTTTTCTGAGCTTTTTATTTCTTCTTTTTATACCAGTCCCTTTAACATTTCTTGCATTGCTGGCTTGGTTGTGATAAACTCCCTTAGCCTTTTTTTTGTCTGTGAAGCTTCTTATTTCCCCTTCAATTTTGAATGATAGCCTTGCTGGATAGAGTATTCTTGGATTCAGTCCTTTGCTTTGCATCACTTTGTAAATTTCTGTCCATTCTTTTCTGGCCTGATATGTTTCTGTTGAGAAATCATTTGATAATCTAATGGGAGATCCCTTGTATGTAACTTTCCATCTCTCTCTTGCAGCCTTTAAGATTCTCTCTTTGTCCTGAACATTTACCATGGTAATTATGATGTGTATTGGTGTGGGTCTTTTTGGGTTCACCTTGTTTGGGACTCTCTGTGCTTGTGTGACTTTTTCATCCCCACCTCAGGGAAGTTTTCTGATATTATTTCTTAAAATAAGTTTTCTAACCCTTGTTCCTCTTTTTGTTGTTCCAGCACCCCTATTATTCGTATGTTGTTTTGTTTCATGTTGTTTCATAGCTCCCTTAGGCTCTCCTCCTGTGTTTTAATTTTTTTCTCCAATTGCAGTTCAGTTTGTGTGTGTTTTGCTTCCCTGTCTTCTAATTCGCTAATTCGGTCCTCTGCCTCTCCGAGTCTACTTTTGGAACTTTCAATGGAGTTTTTTATTGTAGCTATATCGCTCTTCATTTCTTCTTGGGCCTTACATAAGTTATTGATTTTTTCATCTGTTTCTTCTTGCTTCTTGCATAAGTTGTTGTTTTTTTCCTCCATCCTGTTTATGCATTCCAGGACCCTTAATCTGAATTCTTTTTCTGTCATGCTGCATGCTTCTGTTTCACTTTGCTGCTTTTCTGTTGAGTCCTCCTTTTCTTTCCTTTGGAGGTTTCTTTGTCTACCCATGTTTGATCTCACCAACATATCTAGATATTGAGTCATTCAGGGGCTGCTCCTTGAGAGGCAGTGGCTCCTCGGGCTGTGGTTGCTCCTCGGACGGTTGTGGTAGCAGCTGCTCCTCAGTTGGCAGCAGTTCCTCTGGTGGGTGCTGTTCACAGCTATGGTGGTTCCTCTGGCTGCTGGGGGGAGGCTTCACACACCGCTGCTGTTCCTCAGACAGAGGGTGTGGTGATCATGAGGCTTCTGTTCCTTGGATGGGGGCGGGCTACACACACAGCTGCTACTCCTTGAACTGGAGCGGACTGCTCACCTGGCTGCTGATCCTTGGATAGGGGCTGGCTGCACGTTGCTGTTGTTCCTCTGATGTGGTGGGCTGCTTGCGAGGCTGCTGCTCTTTGGACGGGAGTGAGCTGCACATGTGGCTGCTGCTCCTCGTACAGGGGTGGGCTGCTTGCGCGGCTGCTGCTCTTTGGACGCGAGTGAGCTGCACGTGTGGCTGCTCCTCCTCCGACGGGGATGTGCCACTCAACCAGCTGCTGCTCGTCGGGCAGGTGCAGGCTGTTGTGGCTCTGCTCCTTGGACTGGTGCATGCTGCACAGGGCTGCCACTCCTCAGACGTGGGAGGTCTGCTCGTGTGGCTCTGCTCCTCAGACCGGTGTGTGCTGCGCAGGGCTGCCATTCCTCGGACCTGGGTGGTCTGCTCATGTGGCTGCTGCTCCTCTGACCGGGGGAGGCTGCTGCTGCTCCTTGAATGGAGACGGGCTGCTTATAGACCTCCTGCTCCTCAGGATTTTCTCATGTGGCTGCTGCTGCTAGGATGAGAGCAAGATGTTTGTGCAACTGCTGCTCCTAGGATAGGGGCAGGCTGTGCAGGGCTGCCGCTCCTCAGACATAGGTAGACTGCTCATGCAGCTGCTGCTCCTCGGACGGGGAAGCGGACCACTCACACAGCTGCTGCTCGTTGGACAGGGGCAGGCCACATGAGGCTTCTGCTCTTAGGCTCGAGGCAGGCTGCTCACGGGGCTGATGCTCCCTGGACAATTGCGTGCCGCTCACGTGTCTGCTGCTCACGTGGTTGAAAAAATAATGTGAAAAGAAGTAGGAAATAAAGGAACATGCAAAAATAGGAGAACAAAGAAAAAAGCAAAAAAAAGCAACAAACAAAAAAAGGGAAAACAAAGAAAAAGGCAAAAAAAAGCTAACAAAATAATAATAAAAAAATAAATATTAAAAATTTAAATGTCATTCCTTTGGCTGGCTTAAGATCCCAGTTTTCTAGAATGTCTGTGATTTTCTTTTTCTAAATGATTTTTCTCAGGTGCTACATATCGCATAGTCATGGAGATTGACCCACAGTGTGATGTTGAAAAGCTCTCTGCAGTGATTCGGTCTCATATTCCACATGCCACTTTGGAAGAGTGTACTGGAGCTGACTTATCATTTATCCTACCCAAAAAGTATATACACAGGTATACATTTAGGGTGCTCGAGGTGGGTGGTTTGGGTCACCAAAACTTATTTTTAATTTTCCAGGTTTAGCAAGTTTAGTAAATAGTATTTTGCTAACGAACCATTTAAGTTGTCATTTGCCAACTATAGTTGAGAAGTTCAGAGCTGAAGATTTCTCTCACTAAATAGGGGATTGCTTCATCAATTCAAGTTCATTCAAAGCTTATTTGATGTTTTTCTTTCTTTTTTACTTTATTTTTAATTGCATTTAGTTAGGTGACCTTGTTTAATATGATCATATAGGTGTAGGTTCCTGTGTTACAAGATCTATATATTGCACTGTGTGCCCAAAAACCAAAGTTCTGGTTTTTCTTTTGGAGAGAGGTTCTCCACTTATTTTCTACTAGAGGCCCGGTGCACAAAAACTTGTGCACTCAGGGGGGAGGGGTTCCTCAGTCCGGCCTGTGCCCTCTCACAGTCTGGGACCCCTCAGGGGATGTCTACCTGCTGGTTTAAGCCCACTCCCCGGGTGATTGGGCCGAAGATGGCAGTCAGACATCCTTCTGGCAGCCCGGCAGCCTTAGGGGGATGTCCACTTGCCAGAGGAGAGCAGGCCTAAGCTGCAGTTGGACATCCTTAGCGCTGCTGAGGAGGCGGAAGAGGCTCCCACCACCACCACTGTACTGGCAGCCATCAGCTTGGCTTATGGCTGAGCAGAGCTCCCCCTGTGGGAGCACACTGACCACCAGGGGGCAGCTTCTGCATTGAGCGTCTGGCCCCTGGTGGTCAGTGTGTGTCATAGTGACCAATTATTCCCAGTCGTTCTGCTGTTAGGGTCAATTTGTATATTACCCTTTTATTATATAGGATAGAAGCCTGGTGCATGGGTGGGGGCCGGCTGGTTTGCCCTGAAGGTTGTCCTGGATCAGGGTGGGGGTCCCACTGGGGTGCCTGGCCAGCCTGGGTGAGGGGCTGATGGCTGTTTGCAGGCTGGTCAAGCCCCCCCCCCCAGTGGGGACCCTCACCCCAGGGAGGTTTGGCCAGCCTGGGTGAAGGGCTGATGGCTGTTTTCAGGCTGGCCACACCCCTGTTAGGGTGGCAGGTCCCCACTGGGGTGCCTGGCCAGTCTGAGTGTGGGGCTGAGGGCCGTTTTCAGGCTGGCCAAGCCCCCCCTCCCCGGCAACAGAAGCTCCCAGCCTCTCCTTTTTTTCTTTTCTTTTTTTTATTCTGGGATTTATTTACCTTCTATAATTGAAACTTTGTAGCCTTGAGTGGAACTTAGAGCCAGCCAGGGCAGGCGGGAGGGAAGCTTGGCTTCCTCCATCACCAGGAGCACCCCAAGCCTCCTGCTCGCTCCAGCTCTATGGCCACGGCCAGCTGAAAGCAGGTATCTAGGGTTTATTTACCTTCTATAATAGAAACTTTGTTGCTTTGAGTGGAGCTCAGAGCCGGCTACAGCAGGCGGGAAGCTTGGCTTCCTCCATCATTGGGGCAACCAAGCCTCCTGCTTGCTCCAGCTCTGTGGCTGCCGGCTGCCATCTTGGTTGAGTTAATTTGCATATAGTTGCTCTGATTGGCTGGTGGGCATGGCTTAAGGTGTAGCGAAGGTACGGTCAATTTGCATGTTTGTCTTTTATTAGTGTAGATAGCTTCCTAGTGTTCACCAGAGTAATTCATTATAAGATGTTCATAGTAAACAAATTTTTTTAATTTTTTTTTTATTTTTTACAGAGAGGATGGGAGAGGGATAGAGAGTTAGAAACATCGACGAGAGAGAAATATCGATCAGCTGCCTCCTGCACACCCCCTACTGAGGATATGCCTGCAACCAATGTACATACCCTTGACCAGAATCGAACCTGGGACCCTTGAGTCCGCAGGCTGATCCTCTATCCACTGAGCCAAGCCGGTTAGGGCTAGTAAACAAATTTTATCCTAAAGTTTGGGTTTTGGTGTGTGTTTATGTTGTTGCTTTGCAATTGGAAACAATCCTATGATGAACGTTTTTATAGCTAAATCTCTGTGGATGTCATTAATTATCTTCTTCAGTAAATTACTGGCAGTGAAATGACTGGATCAGAGGATATATAATACTAAATGGACCCGCAGGAAGGCTGTACCAAGTAAATGTGTTTAAAATCTCCTCGATGAAGATAAGCCATCTGGTCCCCTCCTCCCTGAAGGGGGGTGTGCATGGGCTTCTGCCTCAAGAAGTCACCCACTGACCAGCAGTTTCTCCCCTGATTCCAACCAGGGATGTTGTTCTTATCCTTTCCTTTCCAAGTTCCAGAGGGGGCAATGCCTACCCTTCCTTATTTCCCTTTTCTCCCTCCCTTCCTGAGACTGGATTTATCATCCCAGTGAGCCAAGCAAGGCCCCTTCCCACAATCTAGGAATTTTCAGAATCTCTGTGAAGAACAAAAGCCCTGAGTGAAGCTATTAGGCCACCGCGTGGAAAGCAGGAAGGAATGCAGGAGCACATACCACTCCAGCTCGTGGGTATCGGGTGTGTCCAAGTATCCCCATCAGGCGATGTCCAGAACCCTAGGAGGAGCATGCCATGGCCTGGCAAGGGAGGAAGGACGCCGGCTTCACCTGGCCTGCTGGTGGAGTGGTGTTTGAGCTGGCAGCATCGGAATGGTTTTAATACTCGGCAGCCATAGCTGTGTGTGTCTCCCAGAAAACATCTCTGCGAGGACAAAAGAGGGCAGGTGTTGTCACAACCCCTGCTGCTGAGCACATTGCCCACATTCCTTATCCAGGGGACTGCAATGTGAGGAAGATCTGTGTCTTTCCTGTCAAAAGAGTATACTTCCTTGCCTGGCTGGCATGGCTCAGTGGTTGAGCGTCAACCTATGAACCAGGAGGTCACGGTTCAATTCCCAGTCAGGGCACATGCCCAGGTTGTGGGCTGGATCCCCAGTGGGGGGCATGCAGGAGGCAACCAATCAATGATTTGCTCTCATCATTGATGCTTCTATCTTTCTCTCCATCTCCCTTCCTCTCTGAAATCAATAAAAAAAATTTTTAAAAAAAAAAAAAAAAAATTTTATGTATGGTAAGATCCAGGGAGACATTGAGATGAAATAAGAAAGTAGCTTCGATTGCAACTCTTGGAGTAAGAATAACAAGGACAGTTGTTGGGTAATTATAAATCTGGAGGTTCTGAGTAATGCTTTAAAAGAAATTAGAGAAGCTGCTTAAATGTATCACATCTGTCCATCCTATATCATGTGTATACAAATGGCATTATCAGAAAGAATAATAAATACAGCATTTATATAAAGTACAAAATAGGAAATGTAAGGACTTAGAAACAGGTAATATTTTTATCCTGTACTCCCACTAAATACTTTGAACATGGAAGGAAGAAAGAGAAAGAATTTCTGAGAAATGAATAACTAGCCATACAGTTTATTGTCAACAGTTTAACTGTGGAGATTCTGGGCCATGGACAGTGGACCTAGTAAGCATAAAAGTAAATCATGAAGTTAGGGGAAAATATATGAACTCAGAATGAAATTAATTTTAAACCAAGTGTTGAAAGAGAAAAAAAAACAACCTGAATAAAATGTCCATAGCCTGTTTATTCTCAGACTTATTCACTATAGTAAGAGAAGAATAAAATGGCAGAGTTCTTGGTTATTTTCAAGACTTTGATAGCTTAATTAATTGTTTATTTGCTTTGGGATGGGCACAACTCTAAATGTTTTCCAAACTGTGTATTTACATAAAAACGAGGGAGAGACTTAGAATCAATACTTATAACCTCAATGCCTATATTCTAATCTATAAAATATGGCTAACAAAATGAACTTGAAATTTGTAAGTTGGTTCTTTGAGAAGACCAGTGAGGTTAGTAAAACTTCAGTCATACCAATCAGAAAGAGAAACGGGAAAGACACAAATTACCAACACTATCTCAAGAAGAAATTAATTTGAAAACCTCTATTTATTAAAGACATTTAATTTGTACTTTAAGACATCCCCACAGAGAAAACTCCAGGACCAAATGACTTCATAGATGAATTCTACTAAACATTTAAAGAAGAAAAAGTAGCAATTCTATATAAACTTTTCTAGAAAATGAGAGAAAACAGAACATTTCCAAATTTGTTTTATAAGGCCAGTATTGCCCTCGTACTAAACCCAGTCAAAAACATTACAAGAATATTATTATTATTCAATAATCCTTACCAGAATATATGGACCCTTGAATAGGGATTCTATTGAGAAGATTAAAAAAGGAAGATGGGAATGACCTTAAAATATGTGAAGAGCTATAATTGGAAGAGAGGTTAGATTGAACTGGGTTAAAAGTAGAAGTAAGAGTCATAACTAGGTGAGGTTAGATGAAAATGGTGTTCAGCCTTAAATATGGATGAAATTTAGAAGTTGAAGAGTTTTGAATCTACCATCTCTGAGGGTAATAACACATAGACTTGATAGTTCCTTACAAGGAATTGAAGGTGTGTTTAAGGAGTGGATGGGTCTCTGGAGACCTTTTCAACCTAAAACAGTGTTCACTTTTCCTGGTAAAACTAGTCATGGAATCTTGATGTAACTGCACTACAATTAGCAATACCTTCATACAATTTACATAGTTGATTAAATCTCTCCAGTGCCCAGCTACTGCTTCACTAACTCTATTTTCTGTCAATTATGATTCATACCTCCTGTACTTTGCAAATTTTTTCACTTGATGTAGGAATCACATGTGAGTAAATTAAATTTTATTAACACTTCTAAAAATAAATTTATAATTTTAGAAGAATAAAAGAATATATATCAAAGACAAAGTTACAGTATAGAGAAATTTGCTAAGATAAAAAATATCTCTTTTTTCATTTGTTTCACAATAAGTATTACAGTGAAGAATAATCTAAACATTTTTCCATGGCTAACTAGAAATTATTATGGAACAAAACAAAACTGAAAATTCATCTTTAAAAAAGCCTAAAACTTAAAAATGGGCAAAGGACTTAGAATAGACATTCCTCCAAAGAAGATGTACAGATTGCCAATAAGAACATGAGATGTTCAACATCACTACTCATTAGGTAAAAGCAAATTAAAAAACAAACAAACACAAAAATAGCAAAAGTTGGTAAGGATGTGGAGAAATTGGAACCCTGTGCATTATCACTGGGATATAAAACAGTGTATCTGCTGTGGAAAACAGTATAGAGATTCCTCAAAAAGTTAAACATAGAATTACTAAATGACCCAGCAATCCCCCTTCTAGGTATATACCCAAAGTAATTGAAAACAAACTCTAACAGATATTTGTACACCAATGCTCATAGCAGCATTATTCACAAAATCCAAAAGATGGAAACAACCCAAATGTCCATTGGATTAACGGGTAAGCAACATGTATATCCATACAATGAATATTATTCATTAATAAAAAGGAATAATATTCTCACACATACTACAGCATTGATGAACCTGGAAAGAATTATGCTAAATGAAATAAACCAGACACAAAAGGACAAATATTGTATAATCCCAACTTATATGTGCACTCAGAGCAGGCAAACCCACAGAGACAGAAAGTAGAAGTGAAGCCGAGGGAAGGGGAATAGGGAATTATTGTGTAATGGGTGTAGAGTTTTAGTTTGGGGTTGTGAAAAAGTTCTGGAAGTTGGAAGTGATTCACAACATTGTCAATGTGCTTAATGCTGCTTCAATTATATACTTAAAATAATGAAATGGTAAATTTAATGTTTCACATCTATTACCCCCGTAAAATAATTTAAGAAAACACTAGGAAAGAATACAATTGGGAATGGAATCCTATATAATAAAAGGGTAATATGCAAATTGACCCTAACAGCAGAACGACTGGGAATAACTGGTCACTATGACACACACTGACCACCAGGGGCCAGACGCTCAATGCAGGAGCTGCCCCCTGGTGGGCAGTGCGCTCCTACAGGGGGAGCTCTGCTCAGCCACAAGCCAGGCTGATGGCTGCCAGTACAGTGGTGGTGGTGGGAGCCTCTCCTGCCTCCTCAGCAGCACTAGGGATGTCCGACTGCAGCTTAGGTCTGCTCCCCGCTGGCAAGTGGACATCCCCGGAGGGCTGCCGGGTTGCCAGAGGGATGTCTGACTGTCAGCTTAGGCCCAATCCCCCAGGGAGCGGGCCTAAGCCAGCAGGTGGACATCCCCTGAGGGGGTCCCAGACTGCGAGAGGGCACAGGCCGGGCTGAGGCATCACCCCCTCCCCCCCCGAGTGCACAAATTTTTGTGCACCAGGCCTCTAGTTAAGTATAAAATAGAGAAAATGTAAGTGCTCAGGTTTCTTATTAAATTAATTGGGGTGATGTAGATTAATAAAATTATATAGCTTTCAAGTGTATAATTCTATAATACATCATCTTTATCTTGCATGGTGTACCTATCACCCAAAGCCCAGTCTTCTTTCACCCCCATATATCTGACCCACTTTACTGCCCTCCTATTTCCCTTTCCTCTGGTAAACACCATACTGGTGTCTGTGTCTATGAGTTTCTGTTTATATATTTATCTTGTTTGCTCATTTGTTGCTTTCAATTTTATATTTCACATATGAGTGAAATCATGTTCTTAATCTTTTCTGATTTATTTCCCTTAGCATGATATTCTCAAGATCTCTCTCTCTCTCTCTCAAATCAATAAATAAAAAATTGTAAAAAAAATCCATCCATATTGTCACAGATGCCAGTATTTTATCTTTTCTTATGGCTGAGTAGTATTCCATTATATATATATATATATATATATGTTTTATTTACTAGAAAATAAAATGTATCTAAACTAGTGCTTTTTTTCTTTCTTCTTGTCTCCAGATTTGAAGCTCTGTTTAATGATCTGAAAGAGAAAAAGAGTGAGCTGGGCATTACCAGCTTTGATGCTTCCGTTACTACCATGGAAGAAGTCTTTCATAAGTGAGTAATAATGACCTTAAAAAAATTTCCACCACTAAAATTATACACCATTTTGAAGGCAAACCTCACCCTATTTGCATTGCAATAAATTAATTACAGTTATGGATTTTTAAAAATACGTTAATATTTATGCTAATGTAGTTCTGTATTTTCAGCTATGAATGTGTAAAGATTTTCAACTTGGGCCTTGATGCATATGTCTTACTATGTTAGTCAAGAAAAAAAAACAACAATTAATATTAATGTTATCATAGGAAAAGTTAGAATTGTAATTGGAGTCTGAACTAGAAATGACTTTAAAATTTTGACCTAACCATGTTTCCATAATTTATTTAATTTGTACATTATTTTATTTTATTGACAGTGTTACGATGTCCCTCAGTTTCTCCCCCATTACCACCCTCTTCCCAGCACCTAGCCAACTCCAGCCTTCACCATCCTATTCTCTGTCCGTGGGTGATGCATATATGCATACACATTCTTTGGTTAATCTCTTCCCACCCACCCACCCCCACCTTCCCTCTGAGATTACACAGTCTGTTCTGTGTTTCCATGCCTCTGGACCTATTTTGCTCATCAGTTTCTTATGATAATTAGATTCCACTTATAAGTGAGATCATGTGATATTTATTTGTCTTTCTCTAACCGGCTTATTTCACTCAGTATAATACTCTCCAGATTCCTCCATGCTGTCTCAACGGATAAGAAATACTTATTTTTACAGCTGCATAGTATTCCATGGTGTAAATGAACCACCACTCATCTACTGATGGGTCCCTGGGCTGTTTCCAGATCTTAGCTATTGTAAACAACACTGCTATGAATATAGGGGTGCATATATTCTTTCTGATTGGTGTTTTCGGATTATTCTTAGGATATATTCCTAGAAGTGGTATTACTGGGTCAAACAATAGTTCCGGTTTTTTAAGAATATATATTATTTTTAATTGTTTACAGTATTAGAGTTATCTCTCATTCACCTCCTTGACCCACCTCTACCCAGCCCCTACCCAACTCCCAGGTCTTCACCACCCTATTCCCTGTGTCCATGGGCTATGAAGATCAGTACATAAGTTTTTTTGGTTTAATTTCTTCTCATCCTCTTACCCCCAAATTGAGGTATGTCTGTCTGTTCCATGCCTCTATGCTTCGAGTCTTACTTTGTTGATCACTTTTTAAAAAATTAAAAATGGAACTTCTGTTTGACCCAGCAAATCCACTTCTGGAAATACATCCTAAAAGACCCAAAACACCAATCAGAAAGAATATAAACACCCCTATGTTTATAGCAGCTTTATTTACAGTGGCTAAGATTTAAATAGCCAAACTGCCCATTAGTGGATGAATGGGTAGTTCATTTTTTATGTTTTGAGGAAACTCCATACTGTTTTCCATAATGGCTGCACCAGTCTACATTCCCACCAGCAGTGAACTAGTGTCCCTTTTCTCAACATCCTCCCCAACACTTTTTGTTTGTTGATTTATTGATGGTAGCCATTCTGGCAAGTGTGAGGGAAGGGTATTTCACTTAGCATAATGCTCTCCAGGTCCCTCTATGCTGTTGCAAAGGATAAGAGGTCCTTATTTTTTACTGCTGCATAGTATTCCATGGTGTAAATGTACCACAGCTTTTTTATCCACTCACCTACTGATGGGCACTTGGGCTGTTTCCAGACCTTAGCTTTTGTAAATTGTGCTGCTATGAAAATAAGGGTGCATAGATTCTTTCTGATTGGTGTTTCGAGTTTCTTAGGCTATATTCCTGAAAGTGGAATTGCTGGGTCAAATGGCAGTTCCATATTTATTTTTTTAAGGAAAGTCCACAATGTTTTCTATAATGGCTGCACCAGCCTGCATTCCCACGAGAAGTGCACTAGGGCTCCCTTTTCTCCACATCCTCGCCAGCACTTGTTGTTTGTTGCTTTATTGATGGTAGCCATCTGGCAGGTATAAGATGACACTTTGTTGTAGTTTTTAATGTGCATCTCTCTGATGATTAGTGACACTGAGCATTTTTTTTTTCATATGTCTGCTGTCCATCTGTATGTTCTCTTTGGAGAAGTATCTATACTGATTCCACATTTTTTTAAAAAAAATTTATTTTTATTCATTATTGTCTTAAGTTTTACATATGCCTCCTTTTTTCCTCAATTGACACCCCCCCCCAACCATTCCCACCCCAGGCAGGCCACCACCGCCCCAGTGTGTGTGTCAATTGGTTATGCTAATATGCATGCCTACAAGTACTTTGGTTGCTCTCTAATCCCCGCCCCCCATCTTCCCTGCCATTTGTCTCTGAATCTATTTTTGTTCATCAAATTATGTTGATCATTATATCCCACATATGAGTGAGATCATGTGATATTTATCTTTCTCTGAGTGGCGTATTTCACTTAGCGTAATGCTCTCCAGTTCCCTCTATGCTGTTCAAAGGGTAAGAATTCCTTCTTTTTTACAGCAGTGTAGTATTCCATTGTGTAGATGTGCCACAGTTTTCTAATCCACTCATCTTCTAAAGGGCACTTAGGCTATTTACAAATCTTAGGTATTGTAAATTGTGCTGCTATGAACCTTGGAGTGTATATATCCTTTATGACTGGTGTTTCTGATTTCTTGGGATATATTCCCAAAAGTGGGATTACTGGGTGAAATGAGAGTTCCATTTTTAACTTTTTGAGGAAATGCCATAGTATTCTCCACAGTGGCTGCACCAGGCTGCATTCCCACCAGCAGTGCATGAAGGTTCCTTTTTCTCCACATCCTCACCAGCACTTGTCATTTGTTGATTTGTTGATGATAGTCATTCTGACAGGTGTGAGATGGTACCTCTTTTGTTGTTTTGATTTTAATATCTTGGATGATTAGTGACTTTGAGCATATTTTCATGTCTCTCAGCCTTCTGTATGTCCTGTTTTGAGACGTGTCTATTTAGGTCCTTTGCCCATTTTTTGATTGGATTGTTTATCTTCCTTTTGTTAAGTTGCATGAGTTCTCTGTAAATTTTGGAGATTAAACCCTTATCTGAAATAGCATTGGCAAATATGTTCTCCCATGCTTTCTTGTGTTGGTGATGGTTTCTTTTGCTGTGAAGAAGCTTTTTATTTTGATGTAGTCCCATTTGTTTATTTTCTCCTTAGTTTTCATTGCCCTAGAATCTGTGTCAGTAAAGATATTGTTATGACATATTTCTGCTATTTTGCTGCCTAAGGAGTCTTGTAGGATTTTTATGGTTTCCCGTCTTACATTTAAGTCCTTTATCCATTTTGAGTTTTTTTGTGTGTATGGTGTAATTTGGTGATCTAGTTTCATTTTTTTGCATGTATCTGACCAAATTTCCCAGCACCATTTATTGAAGAGACTGTCTTGACTCTATTGTATATTCTTGCCTCCTTTGTCAAATATTAATTGAGCATAATGGCTTGGCTAGATTTCTGGGTTCTCTGCCCTATTCCATTGATCTATATGTCTGTTCTTGTGTCAGTACCAGGCAGTTTTGAGAACCATGGCTTGGTAATATAGCTTGATATCTGGTATTGTGATTCCTACAACTTTGTTCTTTTTTCTCTAGATTGCTGCAGCTATTTGGATTCTCTTTTTATTCCATATGAATTTTTGGAAAGTTTGTTCCAGGTCTTTGAAATATGCTATTGGTATTTTAATGGGGATTGCATTGAATCTATAAATTGCTTTGGGTATTCTGGACATTTTAATGATGTTGATTCTACCAATCCACGAACATGGTATGGTCTTCCATTTGTTTATATCTTCCTCTATCTCTTTTTTTCAGTGTCCTGTAGTTTTCCAATTACAGGTCTTTTACCTCTTTAGGTAAGTTTATTCCTAGGTATCTTAATTTTTTTGGTGCAATGGTAAATGGGATTTTTTGTTTGTTTCTCTTTCTGTGAGTTCATTATTGGTGTATAAAAAGGCCATAGATTACTGGGTGTTAATTTTGTATCCTGCTACATTGCCGAATACATTTATTAGGTCTAGTCGTTTTTTATGGAGTTTGTGGGTTTTTCTATGTACAGTATCATGTCATCTGCAAATAAGGACAGTTTTACTTCTTCTTTTCCAATTTGAGTCCTTTTATTACTTCTTGTTGTCTGATTCCTGTGGCTAGCACTTCTAGTACTATATCAAACAGGAGTAGTGAAAGTGGGCACCCCTATCTTGTTCCCGATCTTAGTGGAAATGAGTTTAGTTTTTGCCCATTGAGTATGATGTTGGCTATAGGTTTGTCATATATAGCTTTTATTATGTTGATGTATGATCCCTCTATTCCCACTTTGCTGAGAGTTTTTATCAAGAAAGTGTGTTGGATTTTGTCAAATGCTTTTTCTGCATCATTTGATATGTGATTTTTGTCTCCCAATTTGTTTATGTGATGGTATCACGTTTGTTGATTTGCGGATATTGTACCATCCTTCCATCCACACTTGGTCATGGTGTCTGATCTTTCTAATGTAATGCTGGATCCGATTTGCTAAAATTTTGTGGAGGATTTTAGCATCTATGTTCATCAAGGATATTGGCCTGTAGCTCTCTTTCTTTGTGGTGTCTATCTGATTTTGGAATTAGGGTAATGCTGGCTTCATAGAAAGAGCTTGGAAGTGTGCCTTCCTCTTGAATTTTTTGGAATAGTCTGAGGGGTATAGGTTTTAGTTCTTCTTTGAATGCTTGGTAGAACTCCCCAGTAAACCCAGTCGGACCAGAGCTTTTTGTTTGCTGGAAGATTTTTGATCGTTGCTTCAATTTCTTCAGTGGTTATCGGCCTACTCAGGTTTTTTTATTCTTCCTGATTGACTTTTGGGAGCTTGTATTTTTCTAAGAATATGTCCATTTCGTCTAGATTGTTCATTTTGTTAGAATAGACTTGTTCATAGTATTATTTTCTTAACAGTTTGTATTTATGTAGGATCGGCTGTTACTTCACCTCTTTCATTTCTCATTTTGTTTATTTGTGTCCTCTCTCTCTGCTTCTTGGTGAGCCTGGCTAAAGGTTCATCAATCTTGTTTATCTGTTCAAAGAACCAGCTCTTGGTTTTGTTGATCTTTTGTGTTGTTTTTTTGGTCTCTCTGTCGTTTATTTCTGCTCTGATCTTTATTATTTCCTTCCTTCTGCTTATGCTGGGCTTTTCCTGTTGCTCTCTTTCTAACTCTTTGATTTGTAGGGTTAGGTAATTTATTACCATTTTTTCTTGTTTTTTTGAGGTACTCCTGTAAACTTCCCTCTCAAGACTCTTTAAATGTGTCCCATAGGTTTTAGATTGTTGTGTTTTCATTGTCATTTGTTGCCACGATGCTTTTTATTTCTTCTTTGATCTCTCTAGCAACCCAGTCGTTGTTTAATAGCATGCTATTTAGCCTCCAGGTATTTGATTTTTTTCATTGTTTTTATTGTGATTGATTTCTAATTTTATGCCATTGTGATCTGAGAAAATGCTTGATATGATTTCTATCTTCTTGAATTTGAAGAAACTTTGTTTGTGCCCCAATATGTAGTCTATCTTTGAAAATGTCCTATGTGCACTTGAGAAGAATGTATATTCCATGGCTTTTGGGTGAAATATTCTAAAGGTGTCAATTAATTCCATCTGATCTAGCGAGTCATTTAGGATTGATGTTTCTTTTTGATTTTTTGTTTAGAAGATTTACCCAGTGGTGTTAGTGGGATATTAAAGTCCCCTATTATGACTGTATTGCTGTCAATCTCTACCTTGGTATCCTCCAGAAGTTTTTTATGTATTTGGGTGCTCCTATATTGGGTGCATATATGTTTACCAGAGTTATATCTTCTTGTTGAATTGCTCCCTTTAGTATTATAAAGTGGCCCTCCTTACCTTTTTTTATGACCTTTGCTTTGAGGTCTAATTTGTCAGATATAAGCATTGCTACCCCAGCTTTTTTTTCATTTCCATTAGCCTGAAAACCCTTTTCCCATACCTTCACCATCAGTCTATGTGAGTCCTTTGTTCTGAGGTGGGTCTCCTGTAGACAGCAGATATATGGGTCATGTTTTCTTATCCATTCAGCTATCCTAGGTCTTTTGATTGGGCATTTAATCCATTTACATTTAAAGTTATTTTTGATAGATACTTCTTTGTAACCATTTTTATTCTTTATGCTTGTGTTCCTTCTTCCTTTCCAATTTTTTCTTTTTACAGCAGACCCTTTAGCATTTCTTGCATTGCTGGTTTGGTGGTCCTTCCTTTGTCTGTGAAGCTCCTGATTTCACCCTCAGCTTTGATTGATACAGTATTGTATCAATACTTGTTGGGTATAGTATTCTTGGATTCAGACCCTTGCTTTGCATGACTTTGTATATTTCATTCTATTCCTTTCTGGCCTGATGTGTTTCTGTTGAGAAATCTGTTCATAGTCTGATGGGAGATCCTTTGTAGGTAACTTTCTGTCTCTCTCTGGCAGCCTTTAAGATTCTTACTTTGTCATTGATGTTTGCCAATTTAATTATAATGTGTCTTGGTGTCGGTCTTTTTGGGTTCATCTTGTTTGGGACTCTGAGCTTCTTGGACTTGTGTGAGTTTTTTCTTGCCAATATCAGGGAAGTTTTCTGTCATTTTTTCAAACAAGTTTTCTATTCCTTGCTCAGTTTCCTCTCCTTCTGGTACCCCAATTATGCAAATGTTGCTTTGTTTCATGTTGTCCCAAAGTTCCCTTAGGTTCTCCTCCTGGTTTTTAAGTTTTTGTTCTAGTTGCTGCTCTCTTGGGTATTTTTCCTACCTTGTCTTCTAGCTCACTGATGCGGTCCTCCACTTCCTCTAGTCTACTGTTGATGCTTTCTATTGTGTTCTTTATTGCAGTGATGTCATTCTTCATTTCTGCTTGGTTCTTCTTCATTTCCTCTTAATTCTTACACATATTGTTGAATTTGTCTTCTATCCTTTTCAGCGCCCTTCTGATCATTGCTCTGAATTCATTCTCTGACAAATTGCTCGCCTCCATTTCGTTTACTTCCTTTTCCAGTGATTCCTCCATTTCTTTCATATGGGTGCTGTTTCTTTGTCTCCCCATGTTCGCTCCTCTCAGGGTGTCTGGTTATGGAAATGTTGGTCAAAAGGTACAACCTTTCAGATATAAGATGAGTAAGTTCTAGAGAATACAGGTCTCCACAGTACATTATGGTAACTATATTTAATAATAATTGTAAATTTGAAATTTTCTAAGACAATAGATCACAAATAATTTTTTTTGCCCAAAAGGCAAAAGTAACTCTGTGATGTGATGAATGTGTTAATTAGCTTGACTGTGGTAATGATTTCACAATGTATACACATACCAAAACACCATGTTCTATACTATAAATACATATATAATTTTTATATGTCAATCATACTTCAATAAAGCTAAAAAATAAAAAAGATCAATAGAAGGAAACAAGATGTTAGATATAAACCCAAATATATTGATAATTATGTAAATGGATGAAATACAATTTGGTTGCCACTTTTAAGAGAATGTGTATATGTTTGTGTATGTTTTTGCCTGTTTATACATTTCTGTGGAAAATATCTCATCAGGATTCTCTCTAGGTAATAAGAATTTTTTTCTCCCACTTATTTATATTATTGGATGGTTTCTTAATGGAAATTTATTGCCATTGAGTACAATATGAAGAATTAAAAACTTCATATGACAAAGAAAAATATTAAATGATTATTTTAGAAAGTATAATGGTCCTCAAGACTTTTAGTATCAAACAACAGACAACCCTGCAGGGACGTTTTAAAGCAAGGTTTTAATATGCATATGTGATCTTTAAAGGCTACAGAAGTCATCAATGTACTCATTACTGGGAAGGTCATAATTCAGAATGATTAATGTTGTATTACATACAAATGCTAATGGTGGAATTTAAATTACCTTGATAGTTCTATGGCTTAGAAAAAATACATCTTTTAAATCATGTATTTCTTACCGAGTATTTTATCACTTTAGTGTATTTTTTCCTGTCTCTCAGTATAATATTTTTCTAATATTCTACTTAGTACTTTCCTCCTCAGATTGTAATTACTTGTGTATATCTCTTTATTTTTCTCGAATATCTATACCCAAAGACCCAGCTTTAAACATAGGCAGCAGTAGGAAATGTAAGGACTTAAAAAAAAAACAAAAAACAAAAAAACACTAGCCTATGTCCCCATAATTTCATAAAATACATAACATTGTAACCCTCAAAGGAGAGTTACTATCTTTTATGAAAGGTAACTTCTTTAACTTGTATATGTTTAGCTTAAGGCAACATTGAATATATTCAAATATTTTTTGCATGATAACACAGTTCCTCAGAATTATCGGAACTCTGCCTTGAATTGCTGTTATCCCTCTGCCTGGTTTACTGGGATCCCCTGTTACCATGCTGCCTCAAAACAATATGCCGGCAGTCAGTGAGAACGAGGAAGGAGGGTCCATATTTGGAACTTTCTTTTACATTCCCCAAATAAAATAGTTTAAGGCTCTTGTCAAAATAAAATGTTTTGTGCTTTTTCTGTGTACTTGTGTGTATGTAGGGCCAATAAACTGGCACATTCCCAAATGGATAGTCTACCCTCCCTATCCTCTTCCTTGGAGGGCCAAAGAAAAAGGCAAGACATGAAGCAGAATAGGATTATGCCCAGAAACTACAACACAACAGTTTTCTCCAGATTGAGTGAAATTACTACCATTGAATTTAACACTGGGGTGAGCACATTTACTAATAATTTAATCAGTAAGTTTGGTTTGTGTTTGAGATGTACAATTTCAAATCTGAACTTAAAAGATGTTTGAAGTTTAGCCATAGAAGACCCAGACAGATATGGTATCCTGATGCAGGAGAAATGGGTTCTAAAGAAAAGACAGCTGCTCTCACTATTGATATTTTTCAGAATCACTTTGCAAAGTACTCATTCATTTTCTCATAAATTTTTCCCTTTGTTCAGATCTAACAAAAAACTCAAGATTTATGACAGTTGTGATCAGATGATACTAGTTGATCCAATTAGGGGTATTTTTTTCACTATAAATCATAGTTTGTGTATTAAAACCTAGCAAAGGATAATACTTCCATATAAGTTTTGTAGGGATATTTCCTTTTAAAATGGAGAAATAGAAGGATGATTTTTTTTATATTAAGTAAAAGAAATAAATATAATTTTGTTTTTCTAATCAGAAACACTATATGTATATTAATGAATAAAATCATTAGATTTTTCATGTAGTTAGATCAGAAACCAGATTCTAATTATTTCCCTTATTACCTTACACAAATAAAACTTTTTACACCATCTTGTTGTTTTCTTGGGTCCAATTCAAGTATATATTTCTATTATATGTGTATATCTTCTGCTGAAAAAAATTGAAACATTTATATTAATGGGTTCCAATATGAATATCATACTTGAGTCACCAACAATTGTACTGCTATGTTTTTTTCTCTCTTTTCAGTTTCCACTTTACCGCCAGCAATTTTATTGCATGTTTGTAAAGAGAGCACTGTTCAGTTTGCGTAACTGGAAGCTGGTGTTACTACAGATATCAGTAATTGTCGTTGTCACTACGTATCTATTAACAACTGCAAACTTACGTTCTGAGATACCCGTCAGAGAAATTGATTTGAGTCAGTATGGTCAAACAATTGTGCCTTACTCAGTTTCAGGGAAATCTGATTTGGCTATGAATTTAATAAAGAACCTTAAGATTTTTCTAGCACTTGCGAACCAACAATTGCATGAAGTGCAAGGTAAGATCCATCTATAATAAAAAAAAAACACGGTAATATGCTAATTAGACCAGACATCCTTCTGAACGACCTTCCAGATCAAGTCGGGGCTGCAAGGGAAGCCCGGGCCCCGGGTGCCAGAGGGAAGCCAGTGCTGGCAGCCAGGGAAAGGAAGGCCTACTCTTGCATGAATTTCATGCATCGGGCCTCTAGTAGGAAATAAAGAGACTGCTGCTATATGAAGACATTTGTATCACTTGCAAAAAAAAAGGGATTTAACGGTGGTATTTAGCTACCCATTTCTTTCTTTTTCTACAAATAACTTTAGAGGCAGCTAAATAAGAGGCAAAAAAAAAATGTACACTAAAGGCAACTGACCACAAAAGTAGTAAGTAATTAATGGAGGTGTTTTGGCACTGGGTGGTCTTTCAGCTAATTGTATCACCATTCAGAGGATGGGTAAAATAGCCAAAATACTATGTTGTGAAATTTAGCATAGATTTTTATTCTAACAAGAATATAAATATGTTTCTCCAAGCTCTCATAGGGTGAAATGGTTTCAAGAAGGGACATTGTCCTTTTATCTAGTATATTGGCCATTCTAAAAACAAGTGGCTGCCCTATCTGGTTTGGCTCAATGGATAGAGCATTGGCCTGCGGACTGAAGGGTCCTGGGTTCAATTCTGGCCAGAGGCACATACCCAGGTTTTGGGCTCAGTCCCAGTAGGGGGCATGCAGAAGGAAGCTGATCAATGAGTATCTCTCATATTGATGTTTCTCTCTCTCCCTCTTTCTTCCTCTCTGAATCAATGAAAATATTTTTTATATATATAAAAACAAGTGGCTGAAGACTTAGTAGACTGACTCCTCAAACTAAGTTTTTGAAGATAGTATAAGTAACTATCCTTAATTAGTTCAATGTTTATTTTCATAAAAACCATATTGAACACATTTTCTGCATTTTTATTTTTGATGCTAAAAACACTCTTTTTATGTAGCTTACTTGTTATCTATTGTGTAACAAATTTCCCCAAAACTTAATGGATGGAGAATTTGAATTTTTGGTATGGTGAAATGAACCTCTCTCCAACAAAAGCAACAAAGTACTTAAAAAACATTTTTCCCATTTTTAATCATCTTTATTTTTCAATTATAGTTGACATATAATATTATATTAGTTTCAGTTGTACATCCCAATGATTAGACATTACATAACTTACTAAGTTATTATCCCAATAAATCTTACACCCACCTGACACCATGAATAGTTATTAGAATACTAATAACTATATTTCCTATGCTACACTTTACATCCCATGACTACTCTGTAACAACCAACTTGAATTTCTTAATCCCTTCAACTTTTTCACCCAACCCTTCAATCACCCTCTCATCTGGCAATCATCACAATGTTCTCTGCATGAATCTGTGTCTGTTCTGCTTGTTCATTTGTTTTGTTTTTTAGATTAAATTGTTGATAGAAATGTATTTATTGACCTTTTTTAAAATATATTTTATTGATTTCAGAGAGGAAGGAAGAGGGAGAGAGAAATAGAAACATCAATGATGAGAGACAATCATTGCTCAGCTGCCTCCTGCACGCCCCCTACTGGGGATTGGACCCACAACCCAGGCATGTGCCCTTGACCAAAATCGAACCTGGCACCTTTCAGTTTGCAGGCTGATGCTCTATCCACTGAGCCAAACCAGCTAGGGCTTTATTGACCTTTTATTATTCATATTTTAAGCTTTTGTATTTCTTCTTCTTAAAGAAGACCCTTTAACATCCTATCTAATAAAGAAGGAATATGCTAATTAACCCTCACACCATCACAAAGATGGAAGTGCCCATGGCCAATAAGGAGGGAATATGCTAATTGACTGTCATGCCCTCAAAGATGGTGTTGCCCACAGTCAATAAGGAGGGAGTATGCTAATTGACTGTCACACCCTCAAAGATGGCAGCACCCACAGCCACAAGATGGCAGTGCCCAGGCCCCTTAGCCCCGCCAGGGAAGCAGGCATTCCTCGTGCCTGCCTCTGGAGACCCCCAGTCCCCTCAACCCCCCAGGCACCCAGGGCCAGCCCAAGGCTCAGGCAAGCCTCGAATGGCGGCTACCCAGCCACCCAGGGCTGCCTGAGGCTCAGGTAACGAGGGCTGGTTGAGGCTTGCACTGCCGGCAGTGGCAGCAACAGAGGTGTGATGGGGCATCATCACCTTCCCCTGATCACCAGGTCATCTCCCACCCTGAGAGCTCCAGGACTGTGAGAGGGGACAGGCTGGGCTGAGGGACCACCCCCCCTCTAGTGCATGAATTTTCATGCACCAGGCCTCTAGTTTCATATAATACTGTTTTGGTGGTGATAAACTCCTTTAGCTTTTTCTTGTCCAGGAAGTCTTTATATGTCCTTCTATTCTAAATGATAGATTTGCTGAGTAGAGTAATCATAATTGTACATCCTTTTTTAAAATTCTTTATTGTTTAAAGTATTACTTATGTCTCATTTTCCCCCCCATTGACCTCTCCCCAGCCACCTCCCCCACACACACATACCCCCTTCCCCGTAGAATCTGTGTTCATCGTTTCTGCTTATACTAGAGGCCTGGTGCACAAATTCATGCACCAGTGGGGTCCCTCAGCCTGGCCTGTGGGATCAGGCTGAAACTGGCTCTCTGACATCCCCTGAGGGGTCCCAGATTGTGAGAGAGTGCAGGCCAGGCTAAGGAACCCCGCCAGTGCACGATCAGGGCCAGGGAGGGGCACAGGAGTTTGGCCAGCCAGGGAAGGATCTCAGGAGGGCTCCAGGGTGTGTCCAACCCGTCTCACTCAGTCCCAATTGGCCAGACCCTAGCAGCAAGCTAACCTACCAGTTGGAGCATCTGCCTCCTGGTGGTCAGTGCACATCATAGCAAGCAGTTGAGTGGCCTTAGCATATCATTAGCATATTACACTTTGATTGGTTAAACGGCCAACCAGACGACTGAACATATTAGGCTTTTATTATATAGGATGCATGCATACAAGTCATTTGGTTTATCTCTTCCCCCCTCCCCTGCCTTCCCTCTGAAGTTTAACAGTCTGTTCAATACTTCTCTGTCTCTGGATTTATTTATGTTAATCAGTTTATGTTGCTCATTATATTCCACAAATGAGTGAGATCATGCAATATTTATCTTTCTCCAACTAGCTTATTTTGCTTAGCTTAATGCTCTTCATGTTCATCCATGCTGTTGTGAATGGTAAGAGTTCTTTCCTTGCATTCTATGACTGAATATTTCTTGCCACTTCCTTCTGGTCTGCAAAGTTTCTGTTGAAAAGTCAGCTGGAAGTCTTGTAGGAATTCCACTGTAGGTAACTAACTGCTTTTCTTTTGATGCTTATGAGACACTCTCTTTGTCTTTAACCTTCTGCACTTTAATTATGATGTGTCTTGGTTTGCGGCTCTTTGGGTTCATCTTGTTTGGGACTCTCTGCACTTTTTAAACTTGTATGTTTATTTCCTTCACCAAGTTGGAAAAGTTTTCTGTCATTTTTTTTTCCAAATAGGTTTTTCTATTCCTTGCGCGCTCTCTCTCTCTCTCCTCCTTCCATAATCCCCATGATACAAATATTGGTATGCTTGAAGTTGTTCCAGAGGTGCCTTACACTATCCTGATTATTTTTTATTCCTTATTCTTTTTGCTGTTCTGATTAGTGTTTTTTCTTTCTTAACTTCCAAATAGATGATTTGATTCTTGGTTTCATCTGCTCTACTATTGATATACTGCAAATTATACTTAATTTCAGTTAGTGTATCCTTCATTCTCCCTGGTTCTTTTTATGCTGTTGAGGTTCTCACTAATTCATTGAGCATCTTATAACCAGTGTTTTGAACTCTGCATCTAGTAGATTGCTTGTCTCCATTCCTTTCAGTTCTCTTAATGAAATTTTCTTCTATTCTTTCATTTGGGGCATATTTCTTTGTCTCCTCATTTTGACAGCCTCCTGGGTGTGTGTATATATTAGGTAGGGCTGCTACATCTCCCAGGCTAATGCAGTAGGTGTTCTGTAGGATCTAGTGGTATAGTCTCTTGATCATCAAAGCTGGCCCCCACATTTGGGTCCATGTAGACCCTCCTATTTTAGTTGAGTCTTCATCGATGTTGGCCCATCAATGGGAGGTAGTTACCCTCAGGCCAATCAGCTAAAAGGACTGAATACAACCACTGACAACCAGCCATTTTATTATTGAAAGTGTTACAGATATCCTCTGTTATTTCCCCATTGACTTCATTAACCCCACTCCCACTCTATTGTGTGTCCAGAGGCTGTGCATATATGCATATAAGTTATTTGGTTAATCTCTTCCTGCTACTCTGAAATTAGTCAGTCTGTTGCAAGATTCAATCTCTCTGGATCTGTTTTATTCATCAGTTTATTTTATTCGTTAGACTCCACATATAAGTGAGATCATGTGATACTTGTGTTTCTCTGACAAGCACATTTCACTTAACATAATACTCTCCAGTTCCCTCTATGCTGCCCCAAACGGTAAGAAATCATTCTTTTGTAGAGTTGCATAGTATTCCATTGTATAAATGTACCAGAGATTTTTAATCCACTCATCTGCTCAGGGCACTTCAGCTGTTTTCAGATCTTAGCTACTGTAAATAATGCTGCTATAAACACAGGAATGCATATTTTTTTCTGACTGGTGTTTCAGGCTTCTTAGGATATATTCCTAGGAGTAGGATTACTAGATCAAATGGCAATTCCATTTTTAATTTTTTCAGGAAACTCCACACTGTTTTCAAAAGTTGTTGTACCACGCTGCATTCCCACCAGCAGTATACTAGTGTTCCCTTTTCTCCATATCCTTGCCAGTTCTTGTCATTTCTTGATTCCTTCACCAGTACTTGTCATTTATTGATTTCTTGGTGGTAGCCATTCTGACAGGTATGAGATAATACCTCATTGTCATTTTAATCTGAATCTCTCTGATGAATAGTGATGTTGAGCATTGTTTCATATGTCTCTTGG